ATCAAAAATATTAATAATTTTTGTTAAATAAATATTAATAAATTTATTAAATAAATATTAATAATTTTATTAAATAATTATTAATAATTTTATTAAACAAATATTAATAATTTTTATTAAATAAATATTAATAATTTTATTAAATAATTATTAATAATTTTATTAAACAAATATTAATAATTTTTATTAAATAAATATTAATAATTTTATTAAATAATTATTAATAATTTTATTAAACAAATATTAATAATTTTTATTAAATAAATATTAATAATTTTATTAAATAATTATTAATAATTTTATTAAACAAATATTAATAATTTTTATTAAATAAATATTACGTAAACAACAAATTTATTTGACTCTAAAAAATGCGTAAATCTCTTTCAGAAGTTCGGCGGGTATTTCTTCCTGTATATCGTGACCGGCGTTGACCTCCCGTCCCGTTACATTGGCGGCTACATTATGCCACAACTCCATTGGCTTGAAACAAGCACCGACCACACCCTTTGACCCCCACAGTACACGTAACGGCATCTGAACCTTACGACCTTTAGACCTGTCATCCCTGTCGTGATCCATATCGATGGTAGCCGAGGCCCGGTAGTCCTCGCATATGGCGTGAACATAGGCCGGATCGTGTAGTGTTTGTTTGTAGGCCCGGGACTCTTCGTCCATACCGCCCCCAGACATCTCTATCCACCAGTCGGGTCGGGCGTTGATAAAGTTTTCCGGTAGCGGATAGTCTTGTATGAGAAAAAACCAGTGGAAATAATAGGTGGCAAACTTCAGGTCGGTTAGCTCGTACATGGCCAGTGTCGGTGCAATGTCCAATAGCATTACCCGCTCCAACCGATCGGGCCAGTCGACGGCCATACGATGAGTTACACGGGCACCTCTGTCGTGGGCACATACCTAATGAGATAACATGAAAATTATTTTAATTAGTTGTTTTTGAATAGTATATTACAATAGTTAACAATAGTTAATACTAGTACTGGTAATGAACTGACTTTTTGTTTTATTGTTAGTAATTTTATAAAAAAAAATAATTATTATTTATTTTTAAATAAAATAAATACATTAATCTTATAATTAGACTTAGTATGCAATGGCTAACACCAGTTTAGGCAATATTAGTTATGCTACATATATACAGTATATATATACATCCACAAACATATATACACACACACATATATATACACACAAATATATACACACACATATATACACACACATATATACACACACATATATACACACACATATATACACACACATATATACACACACATATATACACACATATACAAACAATACACACATACATACCTGAAATTTTTTATAACCAAACGACTCCATAAGCAGCACCTGGTCTTTGGCCATTTCACGTTTGCTATACTCTACATGAGTTGCCGATCCATTTGGTGCCGAACTCTGACCATAGCCGCGCAAATCGCTGGCTATTACAGTAAAATTTTTGGCCAACTCCGTGGCTACCAAATGCCACGACAAATGCGACTCCGGGTGTCCGTGTAGTAGCAATAGTGGCGGTCCTGAACCACCCTTAACACCATAGATCTTGACATTGTTTACCTGTTTGGTAAATGTGTCGAAATTTGGGAAAAACTTTTTATCAATTTGACAATTGATTAGTACTATTGTCAGCGACAAACAGGTAAATATCTGTTTAATAAAAAAATTTAAGTAAATAATAATTATTATTATAAATTTAGTTTAAAAATTATTAAAATTCATTTAATAAATAAATATTATTTAATAAAATTTAATTTTCCAAAAACAACATACATATCTCAATTGAAACATTTTTTCAATTAATTTTTAATACATCAAAAATAATTGATAATTATAACGATTTTATTATGTGTTTTAATAGTTAATTAATTATTAAATAAGCGATACTTTTACTAATAAAAAAGTGAAACTATTTTGATAAAGTTAAATATCATATCATATATATATATATATATACAGAAAATTTACTAAAAATACATATATATATATATATATATAATATTGATTATTATTATGTCAATCATATATTATTGCATAGACTAGTATCTAATAATTAGTAATCAATTTTTGTTGTTGTAAAAACCAATTACTTAATAATATATATATATATTTAATATAGTCATTAATAGATAAAATAATAGATGTATAAGTTATACCATGACCATGATACAAAAAAAAATTATATACAAGTTTACAAAATAATAATCAAAAATAATAATATTAGATTAATATAATTTATTTATTTTTAATTTGTAAAAATTTAAAAAACAAAACCGAAACTGGTTAGCGGTTTAAACCCTATCTAATGTATATTATTATAATAATATTTATTTTCAAATAAATAGTATTTATTCATAATATATAGATAGGTGTGTGAAATAAACCATATGATAATAATAATAATAATAATAATAAATTCAAAATTAATTGATATTTTAATTGAGAACATTGTAGAGTAGATGTACACAAAAAAATTTCAAATAATAATAAATATATAATAAACTTAATATAAAAATTTGATTAATCACAACAAAATTATTATTATTATTATTATAAATATCAAAAGTTAACTAGTTGAAATATACTATCTATAATAATATTATTGATAAATTATATAAATAAATAAATTTGTCTCACACGTTGAAATAAAATACAGTATTATAATATACATATACAGTAATCTACTATCAGTAATATAAAAAATGCTAACATTATCAAGGTACATTAAAGACAATTATTATCATTACATTATCAACAATTATAATTGTCAAGTATTTTTCTAATAATTTATATTTATTTATAATCATCTAGTTAAATGGGTTATCTAATTTTTTTTTTAAAAAAATAGTTTTTAAAGATTACAATTTTTACATGGCACACATTATTAAAATTAAATTTTAATTAATTTTATTATCTAATTAAAAATTACAATAATTATTACTAATTAATAATTTGTTTTTATTAGAAAAAAATATACAATATATATATATATATATATATATATATATWTACAATTAGTTTATATTTCAAAAAAAAAAATTACTTAAAACACTATTTCCCCCTAAAATATATAAATATAATTAATAATATTATTAGACTCGGAAAAACTCGTACACTTCATCCAGCAATATATCGGGAACGAGTTCGGGAATATCGTGACCCGAAGGTACCGCACGTCCGGTTACATTGACGGCTACTGTATGCCACAGATCAAGGGCATGAAACAAGCGTCCGATCGTCCCGTTCTGGCCCCACAATACCCGCAGCGGACACTGAACTTTTAGTCCCTGCTCGCGATCCCGACGGTCGTGATCCAAGTCGATGGTAGCCGAGGCCCGATAATCTTCGCATACGGCGTGAACATAGGCCGGATTGCGTAAGGTTTTCTTGAATTCCTCGGTTTCCTCAGTGGGTCGGGGAAATCGGTTATCTATCCACCAGTCGGGTCGGGCATTGATAAAGTTTTCGGGTATCGGCGACGGCTGTATGAGGAAAAACCACCACCAGTAGGCTGTAGCAAATTTCTGATCGGTTAGCTCGTACATGGCCAGTGTCGGTGCAATGTCCAATAACATTGCCCGCTCCAACCGATCCGGCCAATCCATGGCCATTCGGTGAGTAACACGGGCACCTCGATCGTGGGCACATACCTATACATTATATATATAAATTTTACAGTATATACAGTACATATACAGTACATATACAGTATATACACAGTATATACACAGTATATATACAGTATATATACAGTACATATACAGTATATACACAGTATATATACAGTACATATATATTATATATACACAGTATATATATAATGTATATATAGAAAATATTGTTGTTTGAATTTTTTATTAATTGAATTAAAAATTTTGTGTTTATTGTATATAATTAGTATTATAACTTATATAAAGTATTTTTACTAAAATTATTAGTAATATTAGTATTATTATTATTGAATATATTATGATAGCTATAATCAATATTAGTACATTAGGAATCCTAATTTAGGATAGTATATAATTTAGTTAATATTAATATTATTTTTTTATGTATTCAATGTTTATATTGAATTTATATTTTTAATGTTTCAATAATATTGTAAATATAATTAATGAGTTGTATAATTTAGTATTTATTACATTTTATTATTAATTAGTTCAACTAATTTTTCTATACTTTACTGTATGTATTAATACAGTAGTTAAATGCAATTGATTGATTAAAATAAGATAATAATACAGTCAATGGACACACACACATACATACACACACACACACACACACACACACACACACACACACACACACACACACACACACACACACACACACACACACACACACACACACACACACACACACACACACACAAACATACATACATACATACAAACACACACACACACAAACACACTAACACATGAAATTTTTTATAACCAAACGACTCCATAAGCAGCACCTGGTCTTTGGCCATTTCACGTTTGCTATACTCTACATGACTGGCCGACCCTTTCGGTGCCGAGCTATGGCCATAGCCGCGCAAATCGCTGGCTATTACCGTAAAATTTTTGGCCAACTCCGAGGCCACTAAATGCCACTCCAGATGCGACTCCGGGTGTCCGTGTAGTAGCAATAGTGGCGGTCCTGACCCGCCCTTAACACCATAGATCTCGACATTGTTTACCTGTTTGCTGAATGTCTCGAAATTTGGGAAAAACTTTTTATCAATTGATTGACAATCCATTAGTGATGTCATCAACAAAATAGAGGTAAGCTATGAATAAAATAATTATAATTAATTAATTTTATAAATATTTTATAAACAAAAATTTAAACATCAATATAAATATTTATTTTTTTGATATTGTTTATTTAGTTAAATTAATTATTAGCTATTAATTAATATTTAACTAACTTACTAATTTAATTACCAATATTGACATTACTGTTGTATAAATAATATAAATATATTTTTTTAAAAAGTAGTTTAAAGCTATGGTTTTACTTTAATTGTTATTTTAGTTTACAAATAATGGATATATTATTAGTTTATTAATAATAATATATTATGTATTTATACTGTAATTATTGTTATCTTAATAATGTGAAACTAATCATATGTGTTATAATTTTTATTATTTAATAACAATTATATTGATTGTAATTATTGTATTTATTTTTGTAGTATATTTTTTGAAAACTAATTAATTCACATTTATTTTAATTAATTATTTTTTTGATTAATTAATATTTTTTTGATTAATTAATATTTTTTTGTTAAATTAATAAAATTTTATTTTTTCATTACAATAAAAGCATATATTGTTAATAACTTTATTTTTAAATGACTATTATAATGCACAAAACAATATATACAGTTATAAAATATCTATTTATAATATCCTTTTTCCTAAAAAAAATAATTTATAATACAATTTATTATTTTTATTCAAAATTAAATGCAATTTATTGTTGTAGTCGAGTAAATCTATAGCTAAAAATGTATTATAATTTATTTTTTTAATGAATGAGTGAAAGTAATAGAAATATGTATTTATAGATAAAGWGTATATTAATTAACAAAAATATTACATAATTTAATGACACAATTACTTAATTTTTTTTTAACATTTTTCAAAAAAATAACTTTCACTTATATAGTAATAGTAATAATAATACTAATAATTTATAAATATATAAAAACATTATTTTTATGAATTAATTTTTTATCGACAAACATTTTAAAAACTATTTACTATTTTTTTGCAATTAGATGTATGTGTTAGCAATGTATTAAAACTTTAAAACTTTTTAAAAAATTTTATCTTATATTTATTTATTTATTTAAAAAAAACAGTTAATTCTAAAAAAAATTACATTTAAATAATGAATTTATTATTTAAATTATTTAAATTATTATTAACAAACATAATATGTTTGTTTAATAATTTCAATTTCTATATAATAATTAATATTATTTTTATGATAATAACAACTATGTCTATGAATGTGACGCCAACTGCTGGCGAGCGCCGGATAATGACCGAGGAATGGCATCGACACAAGTTCGGCACCGATACGGGCATTGGTGGCACCGGTAGTATTAGTAATAATTATGGCAATATGGGTCTGAGCTCTGGCGGTACTGGACCTGAATGGTCCTTAAGTCCCGATCAGCTATTTAGCATCGGTAGTGGTGGTGGTGGTGGTGGTGGTATCAGTGCCGGTCACAGTAGTGGCGGAGTAGTCGGTTCTTTACCCGGGATTATGGACAGTACTACTATAGATACCAGTGTCCAGTCGATTGACGTTACAAAAGATAATCTGGTTCTGGTCAACGATAACGGTGCCATACGGATGCTCAGGGCTGGCCAATTGCCTACTGTTAACAATAAACAGCCGCCAACAACACCGGCACCTCCGAGCACTGTCCTACAGCTGCCGCAACTACTCGATCAGTATTTAGCTAAAGGTTTGCTGTTTTAGCAAAAAAATAATTTACAGTATATATGATAATACCTGTCCTTTATAGATAGTAATAGCGGGATGACTACTACTACTACTGGATCTATACCGTTAACATTTGCACAGTCGTCCAGCGGTTCAATGCGCGAACCAAACCGTCCGGATATTACATAYCAAACGGATAGTTCATTGCAATGCCGATCGGGTCAGCAACTATCGGGCCTAACTATGGGCACCAACGAGCCGACACCTATCTATTTACCGGCCCAGTCGACCGAATTTGCTACCAGTGCCGTACAGCAGAGGTCAGACTCTGGCGGTACGGCTGCTGCGGCGGCGGCACCGAAAATGGTCAAAATTATTATCGAAATGCCCGAAACATTGACCAGAGATGTCGACGAAGCCAGTAGGTATGCGGCCAAACAAATCAAACGGCTCAGGGAGGCCAATGGTCAGAGATTGGCCATTAATTACGGGTCACAACTACAACAACAACAACTAGTGGACAGTAAGCCTCGGCAGAAGAACAGCGGTCGTAAAGTAAGGAAAAACATTCACGAAATCATTAGGAAAGTTGTAGAACTTGAGGAAGGAGTGGCCGATGATACTACCGGTGCTGCCGGTGATGATGATGATAATGATAGTCAACTACAGGAGCTAAATGATGGAGCCAGTGATGTCAATGATAATGATAATGCTAATGATGTTTTAGATACCGGTGCTGTTGCTGCTGCTGATGGTGTGGTGAACGGAGATATGCAAGAGGAGGCTAACGATACACGAGAGAAAAAGTTGGCTATTGTTAGGACAGGTAGTAGTAGTAGTAGTAGTAGTAGTAATACTAAAGGGAAAGGTAGTGACAGTAAAACTAATAATAATAATAATAAGAGGTTTATTGTTGTCCGCCGTAAAAGTAGACGTCATGGCGGCGGCAAAGGTAGTAGTAGTAGTGGCACAGGTAGTCGTAGACGACGACGACGACCACTACGAGGAGGAGGAAAGTTGATTAAAAGTAATAATAATAATAACAATAAAATTAATGGCATTAAGCGTATCGATAAATATAAAAAAGTTATTAAAGTATATAAAACATAACTATTTATTAATAATGCTATTAATAATAATAATTTTTTAATGTCATATACTGTACTAATGGGTGTATTTTTAAAAAAATGTTATGTTTTTTAATGTAATTTTTTGTCTATTGTTATTATATAATAGGCTATTACACACTAGAGTATTATTATTTCTATTATTATATATTATTAAGTCATATCAAAAATTTATTAAAAAGTAATATTATTGTTTTCAATTATTGTAGAGAAACTATTTTGAATAAAATTTCTATTATAATGTTAATTAATTATTTCAAATAATAATAATAAGATTTACTAAAAATGAAAATGAAAAACATTTAGAAAACATTTTTATGATTTATTATATAAATATAATAGGATATTACAGTATTAATATAATAATAAAAAAAACATTATTGTTTTTTTAATGTATAACAAATTGCTATGTTGTGTGACATCAAATAAAATAGTTGTGTGAGTGTGTACAGTATGTGTGTGTGTATGAGTGTKTGTGTRTGWGTGTGTGTGTGTGTGTGTTTATATGAGTGTGTGTGTATGAGTGTGTATGTATGCATGTGTATGTGTGTGTGTGTTTGTGTGTATGTATGTATGTATGTATGTATGTATGTATGTATGTATGTATGTATGTATGTATGTATGTATGTATGTATGTATATATATATATGTATGTGTGTGTGTGTATGTATGTGTGTGTATGTATGTATGTATGTATGTATGTATGTATGTATGTATGTATGTATGTATGTATGTATGTATGTATGTATGTATGTATGTATGTATGTATGTATGTATGTATGTATGTATGTATGTATGTATGTATGTATGTGTGTGTGTATGTCTGTGTGTGTGTGTATATATGAGTGTGTGTGTATGAGTGTGTATGTATGAGTGTGTATGTATGAGTGTGTATGTATGAGTGTGTATGTATGCATGTGTATATATATATATATATATATATATATATGTGTGTGTGTGTGTGTGTGTATGTATGTGTGTGTGATTTAAATGTTTATTATTAATATGATATTATTATGTATTTTTCCAATAATTATCATATTATTATGTTTTTAATTTATACACATAAAATGTGTAATACCTGTCATTGACTTTGTAATTATTAAATATCATTAATAATATTATTATATAATAGAGTATTAGTCTAGTTTTGAAAATTATTTTCTTTTAAAGTGTTGAATTGATGTTTCAAAAAAATAAATAAATAAATAAAAATAAATATATTAATCATAAACTAAAATATCATATATATTTTTTATTTGTAAAAATGATTAAATAGTAACAATATTAAAGTTTAATAAAAAGTCAACAAATAATTAATTAGTAACTTAATAAATATATATAATGCTAATTAAAATATATAATTAAAAAAAACTATTTATCAAAAAAATATTATTATAAGTTATTTATAATAAAATGTAATAATAATAAGTTTTAAGTAAAAAAAACTAAATTAATAAATAAATAAAATGTTTACTAAAAATGTAACTTTTATTAGTAGTAATAATAATAATAGTAGTGATCATAAAATATATTTCAAACCTCTATTATTAATAATAATTATAATACGGTTTATATTGATTATTAATACAGTATACGCTGACCAACAAATCGGTGACTATCATAGCTATTATCACCGATTACTTACCGAAGACAATCAGCAGTTGTCCGATGACTATCATCAACCTAACAGTGCCGACGATGCTTCCGTCGACGATACTACCGGTGCCGGTGCCGAAATTGTTGACGACTTTTCATTACCCGATATGTTGTTTTATAAGGTATGGAAAGAGGACGAGGAAAGGCAGTCGCCTACTATTGATAATAGTCATCATCACGAGCACAGGTATGCTGATAATGATGACAACCACAGGGAACGGGAGATCGAAATTGGCAAACAACTAGATAGCTCTCGGAGTGCCTCACATCCGCCTCATTGGCCAAACCCGCCGGCCATTTGGGGCGAGACGGCTATGGGTGTTAAAAAGCCGCCGCCGTCGCCGGGAACAGTGGCCAGTGGTGGCAAACCGAAACGTCCGGCCAGCAGTGCTGCAAGTGCTGGTGCTGGGGGTGTTCACAACTATCCGACGGCGCCTATTGTAACAAAACTTGATAATATTGTCGAAATTTTGCGACCCGTCAGCGATAATGGCCGCCAGGATTGGCCTAAAAAAGACAAAGTTTCGGTAGATGTGATTGAAGTCGACGAAGTAGTTGATGACTATATCAACCGTAACAGTGACGGACAGTTTGCCAATCGGCGAACTAAGTCTAGTAGTAGTAGTGGTGGTGACGACCAAAATGACAATCAAATCAATGTCCGCGAAGTGATTGTCCGCCAGAAGCGGAAAAAACAGACAAAAGACGATAGGATTCGG